GAGATCAACCGGTCCTGGAACACAAACAATGTTACATGAGTGTACACACATATACAAATATTAATTAAAATGTTTGTTTCTGCCTTGGTTACCACAATCCCTTAACGCAACTTTAAGCAGAATAGCTTACCTTGAAGCGGCTGGTGAACAGGTCCAGTTTAGGGAGGAGCTGAGGATCTACATATAAACCCTGCAGACCTAACACACACTTGAGACGCACATCTGGAATCTGAAACATGATGAAAATGTCAGAGCAGAGACAGTTTAAAAAAAGAAAAATGTACTAACAGAGACTTGAGTAATGCTGTGACAACTTGCTGTGACTACTGGTTTCATAGCAAAGACAACAGACAGTCAAAGATCTATTATTCCCAAAGATATCTCTGTTATATCTTCTGATCACATCATAACACATCATATGTTTCCTGTTGATTACCTTGTCGTGCATCATCCAGCCCATGTATTTGAGGTAGCTATCGTTGAGAAAAGCAGAACTGTAGAGCTTCATCCACAAACCCAACTCCTCCATACAGATAGAGCGGATTTCTGGAAGCACGTCGCTGCACAGACACACGTGCTCAATAAGATAAGGCACTTTGAAACCACGCTGAAACCAACCATGTCAGAGAAACACTTACCGATATCTTTTCAGGAAAACTCCTTTAAAGAGGATGTCCATCATGCTCTCTATCTCCGCCCTCTTCCCCTGCAGCTTGAGGAGCAGGAGCACAGGCACACAATGAGGCAGACATTACTTATAGAGCAAATATAACATCCTCAACTAGATACAAAGTGTCTCACCTCTGTGACTTTCTTCTCTATTCTCTCGTGTTGCACGTTGCTTCTCTGCCTTGTCTTCCTCTTCTGCACCTCGTACAGTTTCTGACTGTTTTCAATGCCGACGCTCAGGCTCAAAGCCACGGCAACCAGAGAGCTCAGCAGCTTCACCGCTTCTCAGGGACATCCGAACCAAGAAGCTCATATTAGTTTATTGAATGGATTTATGTATCTGTTTGTGTGTGTTTTCTATTTCATTACCTGCTAGTGTGCAGGTGTGTCTGAAAGCCCGCACTAAAGAGTCTGACAGCTCTGTGAGTAGTGAGATGAGGGTGTTCATCAGGTAGCTGTCGAAAATGACGCTGTGCTGACACTGAGAAACCAGCACCGACATAAAGTCGCAGAACTCAGAGAAGAACCAGCGGCCCTCCGGTCCAGACTGTATCAGAGGATAGTCCACATTATCCTAAAGAGAGAGGAGGGAGGGAAATAAAAGAGAGTAAAGACCGTGAAGGGCAGACATTATTTAGTTCATCAGGTTAGAGAAGATACTCACAGAGTACTGAGCAGGGCAGAGGAATTGTGTTCTTTCAGCGCAAAGGTGTTCATAATAAAGATCGGATAAAAACGGGTACAAAAGAGACTAAAATACAGAAGTCTTAAGTAGCATTACTGTTAACCTAAAGACAGGAGAGAAAACTATTGGATGGATCACCACAAATAAAATCCTCACCTGCCTCTTAGAGCTTCTGTAGTCAGGGTGATGGGTACGTTTATTTCAAATATGATTGTATTTAATATAGGAAATCCAATTAGGTGACATGTTGATCACTGTTCTAAAACTGATTGAAGAAACAGTGGGGCGATTACATAATGAATGAGACGCTCTGATACAGAAAGGTCAGAGCAGTAAATGTCAGGACAAATCCATAAAGCAGGAGGTTCTACTGACTGTGTCCAGGGGCCATGTGACTGTGAGGATCCACGGGAAGGCCAGGAACTTCTTATACTGCAGACCAGAAACCTGAAGCACACACAGGCAGACTGTTTCAGACCAAGGGGTTGAAACAGATGAAAACACAGGAGGAAACACAGATTGAAGACCTTTTACCTCGTCCAGCTCCTCCACCATCTTACTCCTGAGCTCACTGTCCTCTCCGCTCTGACACATCTCGGCTGTGACCACACCTGGAGAGACAGGGGGGAAACATACACCTTAGGTTGTGTATCCTTCATATGTGTGTGTGTGTGTGTGTGTGTGTGTGTGTGTGTGTGTGTGTGTGTGTGTGTGTGTGTGTGTGTGTGTGTGTGTGTGTGTGTGTGTGTGTGTGTGTGTGTGTGTGCTTGCCTTTGCATCCCGAGCATTGGATGTAGAAGCTGATGAGATCGAGGAGGGAAGTGTCTCTGTCCTTCTGGTAAGCCTCTATCCAATCATCAATCACCGTCTGCTCAGACAACACAAGAGTCAGATTGTGTTTTTACTGTTTATTAATTTGTATAATTTGTATATTCAAGTCTTTTAATAATTCGGGTAAGTTCATTGTTTTTAGTTATTTTTGAAAAAAACTCTCTGCTGAAACCAACAATAAGTCTTTATTATAGATCAAAGGTGAACCAAAACATTTGTATTTGTATTTTACCATGAGTAAAAGAGTTCCCAGGCCAAGACAGGAAGCATAACAAATAACAAATACTTTTTGTATATTGAAGTTGTATAGGTAAAAATAACTTTATAAATAAAGAAAGAAAGTAAACAGACATAGTACTAATGTTTTGTGCATGTTTCTTGCATTACATCTGAGATAAATAGTGTTGACCTTCAAATGTATTAGTTTATTCCAAACATCCCAATTATTATAAAACAAAACATGTACACTTTACACAGTGTTTGTAGCGCATGATGGAAAGGAGCAGGGAGAAGAAAATATGATATTACTAACACAATAAGATTTAAATAAGACAGTCTAGAGCAGAAGCCAATGTTCCATGTGAGAGTAATCTGGTCTCACCTGCATGGCGCCCCGGCCCATGGTGAGCACCTGGAACAGGGTGACAGCCTCCACGTGTTCGCTGCCTCCTGCTCTGCTGCTGCCACTGGCTTTAGCACGTTTGCGCTTGACATTCTCTGAGCCTGTGTGTGCTTTCTTTCTCCGTCTCTGCGGGTACAAAATAAAGCAGTAATCATATGAGTTATTATAAACAAGCCAAATGCAAATATCTGAATGACAAACTCCTCTGTGTAAGCACTGTTCTTTGAAGAGTCAAGATCCAAATTCAAGAGTCAGTCAGACTCCAGGCGGTTCACTCCTCCAGCTGGGCACTAATGAGCCTTCTCACTGTAATAGCTTTCCTCATATTGTCATACTGCTCTTCTACCATTATTCGTCTCCTGAACAGTTGCTCTCAGACCTTAGACCCTGCTTGTTTAATGATGAACAGAGAAACACCTACCGCACTCTTTTGTCTGTTCTCATTCCCCGACTCATCCTCTGATTGATTGACAGCTGCGGAGGAGTTCGCCTCATCATGAGAGTTCTTCCTGGGAAGTCAAAACATTCATTTCTAATGACTTGAATAGAAAATCTAATTCTTGTTTATAGTTATGTTTCTTATGTATCTGCTATAGCTACTTTGATTTTCATGAAACATGATCAACTTATTAAATATAATGACTTTTTATGTTTGAAATGCCCCACATACTGTTAAACACTAATAACATGCTTACAAATCATTGCTAGTGGAGAAAACAAAAAACTATAAAAGTTATCATCTTTGTGGACCTTGAAGGCTCCATATTTTAATTCTGAAAAAAGAGTTTGGTTATACTTTTTATACTTGAATTACAATTTGAAGAAGAGGAAATGTTATTCCCCCACTTTAGAGAATACAAAAAAACCTCTTACCTCTGCTTTGAGGCCCTGGTTGCAGCTGAAGCTGTGGTCTCTGGTATCATCTCCTTCTCAGATCTTTACACAGAGTTCAGGTGTGTGACTCTCCATCTGGAAATACAGTGGTGATGAAGTAGCGTACAGACAGAAGTTATTTCAGACAGTTTGCTCAACCCAAATCATGGAAACGTTATCAATACGAAACCTTTACCTGTATATAAACAGAAGGTTGCCATACTTATATATCTGGTCAATTATTAACATTTGGAGGGGTTGCAGGGTGTCTACAATGTATGCATGCCGAAAATATACATTGCATGCCCCTCTCCACAGGGAGGAGCTCACAGGGGATTTAAAAGAGTTGCTTAAAGACACTACGGGAGAGAAGCTGCTTTGAGCCCTTGAGGTCATCATAGACAACTTCAAAACACAGTCTGCCATCCTGCGACCCTGCTACATTACACATATTTTATTTGAAAACTAAAACATAAGTTATGATTTACTGAAGCAGCCCTGTTGTGTGTAGCCTACATTGTAACAGAGGTGAGTAACGGATAAACACAGACAGGTCGGTCGCATATCCTCAGTTTTTCAAACTTACCCTCTTCACATTGATTCATCCTTCCTTGATGGTATTTAAAATGCAAACGATGTCATATTAAAACATTTAAAACATTTTCCACCACGAATATCGTCCTTATTTCCACCAAGCTCTCACAGTCAAGTTGTCGAACAGCCTAACAGCATTCTGATTGGCTGGAAAATGAAATCGAACGTATGTGGTTGGTTGTTCTGACGTGTCAGTCAGACTTTAGTCCCTCCCCTGGAGGTTTGGTTTTCTACATATCTCAGCACTGTAAACATCTGTAGCACGCATCAGACATGAGGTAATCTGCAGACAGGAGTCATTATTTACAAAAAATAGAGAAAGGCCCTTTTTGTTTCATTTCTGCTGTTATTCGAGTGGAAACATATGTTACTGTAGCCCAGTATGTGCCGTATATTGTACTTTATCAGACTTTTTATTGTTAATTCAGAACGGAACTGTCTGGTATTTCCTGATTTAATATTTTTTGAAAGAATTGAACAGCAGGAGGCGCCATTTACTTAAAATAGGTGAAGAGTAATCCTAAAAATAACAATTATTGTTACTATTGTTTGGCACACATTTAAAACTACATTATATATATTGAAAGAAAACAAGAAATGTTTGTCAGGAAAGGTACAGAAAGAAATAACATATTTTAAAATATTTAACTAAAAATATTTACATTAGAAACTACACAAAAAAAGCAGACCAGAAAAACTAACCAAGAAATACATGCAAACACATCCCCCTATTGCATTACATTTTATTATTCCACTTTAGGTTAAAAAAAAGAAGTAATTGTAACAGTAGTGCAAGAAGGGATTCAACAAGCTTACATTCATTTTCAAACAACTGACTCATCATAGTGACTAAAATGGATCACATTCAAGAGAACGATTAAAAAAAACCTATATGATTTGTAAATGAAGTACAGTAGGCTATCCAATCCCACATGAATCAGTTTAGCACCTTTTCACAGTCATAACAACATCAGTTCATTCAGAAGCTCCTGGAGAGATCTGTAGCATCACAACGTCAGGATTCACAGACACAGAGGCATCCTTCAGGGGAGTCAGGACAGGAACTGGGACACGAAGGTCACGGCCTGGTGAAGGTCTTCTGTCAGTTCCTCCGGTAGCGTCAACACCAACGATGTTAAACTTTGAGTAAGTTCTAATATCCTACACAGAGAACAGAATATGGTTGTTATTAGAAAGTTGCTGCATTGCTCTGTGAAGTGTCATCACTTACATATGATGAGTTCAAAGGCTTAATTTGTCATGTGCACAATAGCTACAACATAGTTTAGGCAATTAAAATCTTTGTCATAGGCTATTCCAACAGTGCAACATCCAAAATACATGTAAAGAAAAATACATAACAAAATAGACATACTGGTGCAGGTAAGTTGCAGGCGTAAGAACAACACATACATATAAAATAAAATAAGATTAAACAGAATGTAAAATACAGTAGAATAAATACTGTAATAATATATGGAGATGTGGAATAACAAGTGTAGAGTTGAACATTGTATTATATTGGCTGTGGGATAAAACTGTCCCTCCCTGAGTCATATATATTGTTTTATTTATTTCTGTTTTACATGTATATAGTTAACTTGTATGACTTCTAATGGCTTAAGTAGTATATTGCATTGTTGAAGGAACTTTCGACTGTGGATTTGCATTGCCAACAGCGGCACTGTAGCTGTTGTGAATATGGCAATAAAGTCTTAAATATTGCATCTTGGATTTTACTCACCAGTTGATGTAGTGCGCAGCCAGCTGAGGTTCGTGCCGCGAGCCTTCCTCCACCAACAGAGACTGTTTCATCTGTTTGAAGTTCGCCTCAATGTCTTTCTTTATTTCAGAGAAAGCCTGAATTCCTCTGAAAGAGCTGAGGACTAGCTGCAAAAGAACAACAACAAATAGCACAACACTTTTAGTGGAATGCATAACAGGAAAAACTGGGGGGAAATAAAAGATTTATTCTACATACATATATAACCGAGAGCTGGTGGGCAATGTATTTATGACTTCCAAGGTGTCTGATATCTTCCTCCAGCTGTTGACTCAGCACTAGGAGCTGGTTCAGTTTGGCGATGTGGAAGAAGTATTCTATAAAAGAAACAAAGGCTAACGTTGGCAACATATGTGGTTTACAAATACAGGTGTAGTGGTGTAATGAGAGAGTATCATTTTTATCGTTTCAACTGCAAGGTATATGTGAACATAAAAGGGACGAGAGAACATACATTTTCACCTTGATAACAACCAGCGATGGCGAAAAAGTTAGTTCCTCTACTTAAAAAATAGCAATACCACTGTGAAAAATATGACATTCTATGTATAATCAGCTTCTTCCTTATATTACCGTCCATTGGCGGCCTCTCCAGCATGTCCACAGGGCTGCCTTGAATGAGAAACACCTCAACACGAGGGAACATCACTGACAGACCCACCATGTCCAGGTAGTCCTGAGGAAACACAAGAACCTCCTGATTTCTGGTACAACATTTCACAGTTACGTTGAATCGCATTCTTTTAACGTTATTATGGAAGTATGTCAACGTGGTATTTCAAGGCATTCCAAAAATGTCCTGTTTTATATTGACAATGTGAATTAGATGATACCTCCAGCTGTGGCATAGGCTTTGGTAGATGTTCAAGGCACTGCAGCATCTGGTCCAGAATCTCTGATCCTTGAGCCTGGAAAGTGTCTGACTCCTCTGGACTGCAGCCTTGTCCTAACTGCTCCTGGAACTGTGACATAAATAATATGAAAAATAAATGTAATGCCACAGACTAAAAGGAGGATTGTCTATACAGGATGTTTTGAAATGCATATGAACAGTAGGGCAGACATGACAATAGACTTTAAATAGTTTGTAAAGTGCATGTTGGTACATAATCATGCTAAAGCTAGCAATGACGTCAAGTCAAATGCTATGTTTGAATGCTTTCAGAGATTTGATACAGGATAGACTCATAAGCACATGACCCATTTGTAAATAGATACGGGTTTAATGCCTTGTGTATTGGTTGCAGGGTTATTTATAAGGATAAACCCCTTGAGATGAGCAATCTGGCATTCAAAGGGGACATAACGTACAATACAGACAAAGGAAAGACAAGGAAATACAAAGGAACAAGCAACAATTACAATAAATATACAATAATTGAAAATGCATTGTAGGTATAACAGAGCTTAATTTGAACCAAAGTTAATAGATTCAGATGCTTGACTTTTACTTGACAATTAGTCAAAACATTATAAAACTATTGAGAAAGTGGAGGATATAAAAGTAATATTTATCAGCAGTGTGGAAACAATGCATTCATTCTCCAGTGATGTACCTGCTGCATCTGAGCCCTGACGAGGAGGTCCAGCTGCCCGCAGAGACACAGCATCTCCAGGCCCACCTGCTCTGGACTCAGATGGACCGGCATCAGGGGTCTCTTCACCTGTAGCTCCACTGACCACACAGCAGATACATCACAAGTCTGTCACATTTCCTCCCTTTTTCCTTTACTGTTTTATCAATAGACACAAATTCCCAGGGGGCACCACCCCCATTTATCAATGTGTGTGTCACTGTCCTACAGGTCCCAGGGAGGCTGGAGATAAGGACTTTAGGGGAGTGGTCAGTGTGTTGAAATGAGACAGAGCCTGCACTCTTTCAAGATGCAAAGACAACACAAGTAATATGACAACATAACACTGCTGAAACCTGGAATAAAAGGAGTGTGTGATGCTGGGACTTACCTCTGAAAGCTTCATGATAACCGCACGGCTGACAGAGCGGCTCCGTTGTGCTCACTGCCATTTCTGACTTCAACCGGCTGTGAATACCTCAATATTCTCCTAAATGTACCCAGAAGCCATAAGAAGCTCGTAAAAGCTAAGTTAACAGCCTAGTTGAGATGTAGAGAATAATAGATACGGGTCTATTTATCTTATGGCATCTTGACGGAAGTATCTACAGTATCGCAAGGGGTGCGTTCGCGACTCTAACGTTCATCAGGGTGAATGAAAGCCGATGTTGTTTCTTCATCCGTAATTCATCGTTTTCCTGCAGGTGTCGATGCTCACACACAGCTGCGATGCAAAGAATACATCCTTTATACCCGGAGGATCCATGAAAATAATAACAGACAATGCCCACGCCCTTTGCAACAACAGCCGTGCAGTAACAGACCGTGATTTGCAGTTTTGAACGCCCCTTCAGCCCCCTCCACACACACAGAGCCTTTCTGCATGATGTCATGCTTTAAGGATGGAGACCACAGCATCACTTGGTGAGGATGCAGAGCTGTTCTTTACAGGACTAGAGCCACGATCAATGTTACTGAACCAGGAAGAGAATCAAAATGAGCACAAAGATACTCAAAACGAATACAAAGAGCACAAGAAACACACTTTAAAGAAACTGTGAAGTCTGTGTCTTGCTCCTAGAGAGAAGGTGGGGCCCTTAGCACATCTGTGCCCAGGGGTCCCATTGTCTCATAATATGGCCATGACTCAAGTCATGTACTGTACTTACTTTAAAGGTCCCCCATTATACTGTTTTTCATCAATATATAATAAGTCTCAGATATATACAAATATGTTTCTGAAGTTTTTGGCTCGAAATACCAAACAGATCATTGCAGCATAATAATCCCCTCTGTTTCTAAAGTGCTCTGTCTGTTACTTTAGATGAAAATAAGGAGCCACTCCCAACGCCCCTCTGAGAGATATTTGGTTACAAAGAACACTCTAGTAGGAGATGCAGGTGCTAAGGTGTGGTGGGGGGGGTTACCTTGGTTGGATATTGGCTAATGGTTACACAAGCCAAAAAAACGTTATGACATAAAGTGGCCAAAATCTGATCAGCTCATTTTCAGACAAGTTTTTATATAAATGGATCAGGACAAAGAGTGAGCGAATTTTTTTTCCTGAAACTTTCAGAATCTCTTCACACAGAGGGGACACATGTTTATGTATAAAAGACATGAAAAAGTGCATTTTGCATAATAGGTGACCTTTAAATACCAAATATAATGAAAGGGAAATACTTCAGTCAACAGCATCTTTGTCAGGGTTGCACCTAATTCTTGTTATTTTCATTATTGATTGATCCACCTATTATTTTTTGGGATAGTGTAGATAAATATTTAAAACCTAACAATGAGGAACCAAGAAGTATTGGGCATGTTTACTGTAATATTACCTGTATTTGCTAATCAATGTTTGCTTTCTGCCGATATATTTAATGATTCAATTGTTTGATATAATAAAGGTGGAAGTAAAAGTGGAATGTACTTACATGGAGCAGTGCTGAAAGTGCTTTTATATTTAAACCTGATGGAGTTCAAGCTTGGTGAAGATCGAGTATTTTAAAGTGAAAAGTGTAATTCTACATCAGTTTTACGTTTTGATAATCTATGTACATTTTTTGCCAATAGTGCCATATCACTGTTACTTTGACTCCAGTAAATGATCTGAATATTTAAGTATTTGCCAGTGGAAGATCTTCAAAGCACAAACCAACTCTGGGCTTGGTTTATTAAATAGCAAAGTCAGACAGGAAGTCTCCATTCTTCAACCAGGACTCAAAATGGGTCTTAATAAAATACAACTGGCTTATAAAGTTTGTCACAGTTTTACAGTATCCAAAGGGAAAGTTTGAAATAAAAATGCAGAGGTCTCGACAAAGTAAAGGCAAGAAAACATTTAAATAGTGCGCTAAGGAATATATCTCCTGATACTATAATAATATCAGTCTGGCGTTATAAAAAAGAAAGAAAAAAGAATGAAGTCAATTCTATAGCAAAAATCTAACTCACCTGATTCCTTATAACACTTAAATTTACAATAATATACATATTTTTGTAAACAACCTTAATTTCAATAGATAATCTTGTTTACAAGTGCATCTGGAGAAAAAATAACATTTATATCCTTTTGCATCAAATGCCCCCCCTTGTCCATGATTTTCCTCAATGGCAAATCTTGTTGTGAGCTTCTATCAAGAATAAAGACTGTGGTCCACAGCTGTACAAATTAAATGTTCCATAACAGCAATTATACACAAGGTCAATAGTCCAATGGCTGAAGCAGAGAAGACACATGCTGGATTTTGACATCTTGGGACCACAGTTGTTACTCTCCGTTTGGACCCGTCATCGGTCTCAAACGGGACTCCGGTTGGACTCCAGTAGTCTGATTTATTCTTGTTTCTACTGACGAGTGCCGGGGGGTAGAGCGAGGTTGGCCATCAGCTCGTGAACAGAAGCAAATATCGTACACTCACCTGAGAGAAAGATAGAAAATACCCAGTGTTAATGACAAGCAATGACATTTAGTGTCAGGTGTAGATGACACTGAATATTCAGTTGATATTAGTTTCAGTTTAGTAAAATGATAAAAAAAATTCAGTGTGAAAGTCTCACCCTGTCTGGCGGGGTGCAGTTCGTTGAACCTCTTAAGGATATTAGAGACCATGAGGGCCGCGGCCCCCGAGGAGCTGTGCTGTCTGGGGATGTCGGCCTGCTGAGTGAGGCCCGTGGCCATGTCGTACACAATGGGGACGATGATGCTCAGGGGCTCCTGGGGCACCGGGATACGCTGAGTCAGCTGCAACTGCAAGGCACAACAGACACAGGGTCAGGTTGCTTCAAATGATGCTACACAAGTATAGGTGTGTGCTTGCTGCGGAGAGATGAGAGTGAGGCTCTGCTGAGACTTACAAAGAAGAGCATCTTTGACTTGAGCACCACAGCGATGGTCCCAGGAGGGGCGATGGGGGGAGCACTGGGAGGGATGGTGAGACAGAACTGCACATTCCACTTCAGCTGTGAAGCCTGGTCAGGGAACTGCAGAGAAATCATATTCATATTTATAACACCTTTCAAACACAGAGAGAATTCTTATTTTTTTTTTATGTAAGGCCAAATTTTAGCATTTAGCATATTCATAACATCTTTTACTTTCTGTGTAAAGATGAAGTAGCAATTGTGTTGTTGTTTTCTCTATCGATCAAAATACACCCAAACTGAAAAGGTTCATATACAATCATGATTCAATACATGCTACTATGTCTCTTAAATAAGAAACAGCTACCCACCAGTTCCATCTTCATGATGCGCACACAGTCTCTCAGGATGTTGGTGGGCGCCCCCAGCAGCTTTGTGAAGGCATTCAGAGTGTTGTATTTGAAGGGAGGACCAGCAACCTAGAAAGTTGAATCAATGGAATAACAACAACATGAGTGCAGGGCAGGCATGACTTCCAAAGTGTCCTTAATGTAGTGCATCACGGGTCGGAATTGTGTGTTGATTTTAAATGAAGCACTAAACTACTACTACGTCTTACATGTAAGAACATTTTCTGCTCATGCTTACCCTTGTCTCGAAGAACTTCTCCAGGACCTGAAGCTCCTCCTGGGTCCAGGGACCTGCGTTTTCTGGAGTGACTTTGAGCTGCAGTGTCTGGTAGTTCTTTGGGTTGAGAGCCACGCGGCACTTGAGTACCTCCGTCTTGAACATGATCACCCCCGGCTCATTAGAGTTCACAATAGATAACTGGAGGAGAATTGGTAGAGAAGGGGACGTTAGAACAGTCAGTTAGTTAGTGTAACAAATAAACACAAGACTTGTCTCTCCAAATGAGTGCAATTCTTACGGTGGCTTCCTGCTGGATGATCCTCTGTAGGTGCCGTCTCATGATAACTGAACCCAGAAAACGCTCAAGAGGGGAGCAGAGGTAGCTACCAGCCAGGCCGGGCACCAGGCAGGGAGTGGGTGAGGGGAGCAGAAGCACATGCAAGGCATTGTGGGTGAGGATGGTAGGAATGGAAGCAGCCCAGGGGCGCTGAGGTAGCTTGCGGGGTGGAGGCATACTGGAAGGCATAACCTGTGAACCTAAAACAAAGAGGGAGAGGGAAAGCGATGTTTTAGAGAAAAATTTCAATATTTTCAATAGTGCTTTATTTATTTATGGTAAAGTCTTAACCTATAGCGTGTTTTACCATAAAAACAAAATACAGAAGTGCCAAATTATTTGGAAAGGATCACCTTGTTTTGTTACATTATTTTTCCACCAGAGATGACAGGTCACTTTTTCAAATGTTAAATATCTTGGTCGCAATTATTTATCTGTTTGTACTTTATTACATTCCTTTCTTTATAACAACTCAATAAACAACAATGAGTCATTTCTTTTGAAATAATGACAGATAGGGACAATTGTATACTGACCAAAAAATGTTTACCCTTTTTGGATTAATTTTTCTTGAACAATTCTAGTTAAATGTATTTAAAAAAATCTAAAAGGGATTAGTATCAAGATGATTTAATAGGCGCATTCACACCGCAGTACTTTTCCCACAAAGGTTCATGAGAACTTAGTTCATCAGAACTCTTTAGTTCTCATGAACTAAGTACAGATCGCGTTCACACCGGAATAAGTTCCTGGGGGAAGGATTAGGCAAATGAAGCTGCTGACGTCACTTCTTCTGCTTTGGGTTTACTGGCAGGCCACAAACAACTTCACGGCGTATACTGCCACCCGAAGTCCCCGGCCGGAAGTCCCCGGAGTTGGGGACTGGCTTCAGCCTTCCGAGTAAATCGCCAGAACGCCGACACCTCCTCATCACTCCACCGCTCTCATGTTTTCTTTTGTGTTGCCATAAGTTAGTCTCTCTGCATTTGTGCGATGGGCTAATGCTAATGCTAATAATGCTAATGCGAGGATAATAAAATGGCGGCTTCACAAAACCTTTTGGGAGTTTTACGGGGCGTGGTTTGCATTCCGCCCAGCCAATCAGACATAGGAACCTTTTTCTCCCACGAAAGTACCTGCTCTCTAGCAGGGACGGAAAAGGGGGTAAAAAAGGTTCTGATGAACTAATTTTAGTTCCGGCTCTTTTTGGTGTGAACGCGACATTTCAGAACTATATCGGAACTAAAGTGGGAAAAGTACTGCGGCGTGAACGCGCCAATTTAATCCATTATCAGTTGGGATGTATAAGTTATGCGAGACAACACTGAAAGAAGCACTACTTACTGGTCCCGGCTCGCGGAGAATGAGGATCGGGGATAGGCGAGTGCAGCGATGGGTTACCAGGGGACATGCCAGGGATCCTTGCCCCAGGAGAAGGCCCTGAGACCTGGGGTGAGC